TAAATATCTAATAAATAAGAGATTGGGCAAATAATATTTTACTATGGCAAAAAATAAAAAGAAAGGAGTTGTGATTTATGTTAAACCCTTTTTAGAATCTAAGTTAGTCAAGGCAGATTCAAATGGCAATTGGATAATGGTTAAAATAACTAAAAATGATGATAAATTTTTATTGGTCGGAGTATATGGACCATTAGAACAGAATGGTAATTTTTATAATAAATTGCATGATTTACTACAAGATCTGAATTATGAGTCAATGGTTTTATGTGGAGGTTGGAATGGGGTTATTAACTCGATTGTGGACAGGAAATTGAAGAGGCCATAATAATATAATAATAAAATAATAATAAAATTTATTTATACCCTGCCCAATGGGGACCCATTGGGGCTTACAAGTTTAAAAGCATAATCCAGATAAAACATATAATACAAAAGACCCACCCCCCTTAAAACAATATTAAATCAGACAAATTTAAAATCAACATGATTAAAATTTAAAATCCTAGACAGAATAACTAAAGCCTAACTAGATGATCCCCTCCATCTACCGATGGGGCCACGTAGGAGCATCATTAGCATGGCTATTTATGTCCAGGGTGGGGGTAACTAGTCCGGAAAGGCCTGCCGGAAGAGATCCGTCTTAATAGCCTTTTAAAAGCTATCCAAAGATGTTAATAGATGGATCTCGTCTGGCAGGCCATTGCAGAGCCTGGGGGCGACAGCTGAAAAAGCCCTCCGGGAGGTAGCCGCAAGCCTCGATTTCTGAGGCTGCAGCAAATTCCTCCCGGAGGACCGAAGAGCGCGGGGAGGATTATATGGGAGTAGGTGGTCCCTGAGATAGCTTGGACCCAAGCCATTTAGGGCTTTAAAGGTAATAACCAACACCTTGTACTGGGTCCGGAAACTAATAGACAGCCAGTAGAGGGACCTCAGAACTGGAGTAATGTGGTCCCTCCGAGATGTTCCCGCAACAAGCCTGGCCGCCATGTTCTGTACCAGTTGTAGTTTCCGAACTAGGCACAAGGGTAGCCCCATGTAGAGTGCATTACAGAAGTCGAGGCATGAGGTTACCAACGTGTGCACAAATCAAAAAGAGGCCAATCAAAAAGAGACAGGAATGTTTGCCTAATTCCTTTTTCCAGATGATTGAAATGCTAGTACTGTCAGATGCTTGGCATGCGAAATATGATTCCACAAAAGACTATACTTTTTCTCATCAGTTCACAGATCCTGGGCCAGACTAGACATGTTTCTAGTCTCTACGACTTTAAAAAAATAAGATTTCTAAGATAGATTCCCAGGCAAAAATTTGGTCTGACCATAATCCACTTTCAATGACTCTAAATGTGGGGAAAAGAGAGTTTCGTTGGAAGTTAGACCCCAATTTATTAAAAAGTGAAAAAATATTGAAAGAAGCAAAAGAACAAGCAAAGTCCTTTTTTGAAGATAATTTAGATAAAGAAGTAGCTATGGTGGTGGTGTGGGACACTTTTATGGCTTATATGAGAGGCTTCTTCCTTAAAAAATGCATCTGAAGTAAGGAAAATAAGAGAATGAACAAATAAACTGGTGAGTGAAATTAAAGAAAAGGAAAGTCAACTGATAACTTAAAAAAATCCTAGTAGATTGGATACATGAGGATCAGTCAGGGTTTCTTCCGGGTAGAAGAATAAACGATAACATAAGACACTTGATAAATATGTTAGAGTATCATCAGAAAAAAAAATTAATAATAAAGTCGCCTTCATTTTCTTAGACGCAGAAAAGGTGTTTGACAATGTCAATTGGACCTTTCTGCTGACATTATTACAGAAGATGGAGGTTAGGATTACCTTTGAAAGATGGAAGCAATTTATAAGGAACAAGTATCTAGTATTTTGATTAATGGGGAGTCAACGAAACCCTGTAACATCTTCAAGGGGACAAGACAGGGATGCTCCCTCTCACCTCTCTTATTTATTATTTCTTTGGATATTCTGTTAGTGGCAATCAGGGGAAATACCCTAATTGAGGATGTTAAAGTAAAGGGACATGAGTTTAAAATAAAGGCATACACAGATGACGTATTGATAACATTATCTGACCCTCATGAGAACATTGGAAAGTTGTTAAAGATTGTAAATGATTACTGTAAGGTATCAGGTTTAGTTATTAATAAATCTAAGACAAAAGTTCTTTCCATAAACTTGACAGAGATAGAAGAGAAAGAACTTGTAAAAGGATCTAATTTTCTAGTACAAAAGAAGGTAAAATATCTTGGTATAGTGTTTACTACCAATAATAATAAACTGTTTAAAAATAATTATGAGAAAATATGGGGAGACATAAAGAATGAAATGGAAAGATGGAGTGATAAAGGATTGTCATGGATGGGTAAAATTTCGGTTGTTAAGATGAATGTACTTCCCAAAATTCTCTTTTTGTTCCAAAATGTGCAAATAATCCATAGTGATGCACCATTTAAGAAATGGGAAAGAGATATTTCATTTTTTCTTTGGCCTGGGAAAAAGCCTCGCTTGAAAATGAAACTTCTTCAGGGCGAAACAAATGGGGGGGGGGGTTATGGCACTCCCGAATCTAAAACTATATTATTACACCTGTAGTCTGTACTGGATACTAGACTGGATTAAGATTCAAAAAAAGTCCTTGTTACAACTAGAAGGATTTGAAAACAGATTTAGGTGGCACGCTTACCTTATATATAAAAAAGATCTTGTTCATAACCATTTAATAAAACGTGCATTGTTAAGAGTGTGGAAGATTGTCAAGAAAAGATGGAAAGATTTGGTTCCTGGATGGACTTCAGTGAATGAGGCCTTCTTTAGACATGAACCAATGTGTACTGACGGCTGGATAACTTATGACGACATTCTGCTCAGAGAGCAAGATGAGATAAAATTAAAAAACCAAGAAGAACTGAGAGAAACAGGTTTTAATTGTAGATGGTTCTTATACCAGATAAGAGAATGGTTCAAGATGGATCAGAAACTTAACGGCTTCGAGGAATGGGACCTAGATCTGATAAATATTATACATGCAGAGGGAAATCACCAGATTGCTAAGTTTTATAAAATGTTATTGAAATATGATCAAGAACCTGAGGAAGTTAATCACTGTATGGTTAAATGGGCTCAGGTCATAGGACACCCAATACTATTAGAATGGTGGGAATATGCATGGAAAAGAGGCTCAAAATTCACTTTATGTTACAATTTGAAGGAAAATTGGTATAAAATGCAATTTTTCTGGTATCTTACATGTTATAAATTAGCCAGGATGTGTAAGAACAAAAGTGAGTTGTGTTGGAAATATAGTAAAGAAGTTGGACACTTCTTTCATGTCTGGTAGAGTTGTAGTAAAGTTAGAAAGTATTGGAGACAAATTCATATAGAGATTCAGATGATACTAAAAATTAAATTTCTGTTGGATCCCAAAGTGTATTTATTAAATATGATCACAAACAAGGAATTAAGGAGAAAACTGAAACCCCGTTATTGTATATGATAACGGCCGCGAGATTTTTACTTGCCTCAAAATGGAAAAGTGAGAACTGTCCAGATTCCAAAGATTGGCTCCTCAAATTATATGAATATATGGAAATGGATAAGTTAACTATTCTATTGAAAGGGAACAAGATAGAGTTATTCTGTCAAACATGGGACCGCCTAATAACTTATCTAAAAGAATATAAGAGTACTAGTTACACAATTGGCCTGGATTGAGAGTTGGGGTTTTCATTGATTTATAAAGATAAATACTGTGTGTTACACATAGGAGGCCTATGTTTCCTTCAGTGATGTTGCAATGGATGTATGATAGTGAAGAAATCTTCCATGTATATGCAAGAAAAAGAGATTGTATGTATCTCTTACACACACACACACACACACACACACACAAAAGAAATTGCTATGTTTCCAAATAGGCACATTCTCAAATTAGAACAACAAAACCCAAAGATTGATGGCAGTGATTGTAAAGACTGTTAAATAATCTTGATGTATTTGTCATTTAATTGCTAGGCGCATATTCATGCTGCCATATATCATTGTGATGAGAGCTACTTTCTCATATTTGGCATGTTAATTTTATTCATTGTCTTTTAAACATGGTGAGTACGATTGAAATACATGAGAAGCATGGGTAAATACATGGGTAAAAGAGCACTATAGACATATGGTTTGACATGATAATCAATGTATGTTCTTGTGCCTTTGAAAGAGGAAAGGAGGAAGAGGAAATGGGTACCCAAAAGGACAGGGGAAGTGAACACAGTTATCCTGGTCAGTACTGGGACAAGAACTACCAGGATCATCAGCCTTTTTTATGACCAGGCATTAACTCATCATCTATGATCATCACACAATCCACACCACACAATTATAGTGCTACATTCCACTTTAATTATCATGGCATCCCTTTATGGAATCCTGGGATTTTCAGTTTATGGAGGGTTATTTATTCTCAGCCAGAGAGTTCTAGTGCCTCACCAAACTACACACCATAGGATTCAGTAGGTTGTTGTCATGGCAGTTAAAATGGAATAACAGCATCATAATCATTTTGAAAGAAGACGGTAGCCATCTTATGGAATTTTCTTATGGGGTTATAATAGTTGAACTACTTTTTCCCTATGTTGTGTAAGCAGTTATCCAGTAGTTGCTTATGGCACAGTTCTTCTAGGAAATACAATGAGTACTGAAAGTCTGGGCACAGCTTGACTCTCTCAATTCAAATGGCCACTGATTGTTGATGGAGTTGCACTGGGAAAGCTCTATTGCATAGCTGCCCAGCAACCTTTGTCTTCCTCTTGGACCTCTGAGATGTAAGCCTGAACTTCTGTGTATGTATGTTGGCTTTACACTCTGTTCTTGTTGTGTGCCTTCAAGTTGTTTCTGACTTACGACAACCCCAAGGTGACCCTGTCACAAGGTTTTCTTGGCAAGATTTGTTCAGAGGAGGTTTGCCATTGCTCAAAGTCACAATGGGTTTCCATGTCTGAGCAGGGATTTCAACCCTGTCTCCAGAGTCGTAGTCCAGTATTCAAACCATTACACTACCCTAGTTTTCTTTATGCTCTACCTGCTTCTAATATAGCAGAGACCAACATTAATTTTCTTCTATCTATTATTCTCTGTTGGGCTCTGTTGGGACAAAGGGCAATAAAATTTCAGCTCTATTAGCAACAGAAAAGTAACTTTCCTTGAGATCCAGACTGTCTGTATCTGGTGCAAAGCTAACTACCCCTTTCTTAGGCAGAGAACGTTGAATTCCTCAGGAAGTCCCTCTACTGTTACATCTGGAAAAATATTTATGCACTGTATAGGTAAAACGTGCCAATTGTAGTCCAAATGAAAGAATTTTACTTTTGTTGGAGGTAAAAACCACAAAGAGTTAAGAGGCAAAACACACCAGCAGCTTAGCTGGCTTGGGGGTGGTGTGGGAGTGTGGCATTTGGATGACGCATGCCCCAACGTCATCTCCAAGCTGGTGTCACACCGCCTGAACACCTATCCATATGGCTAGCAGTGTTGTGGTCCTCCAGCAGCACAGTGTTTATATGCAGCACACCATGGCAGAAAAGCCATCCTTTTGACGCCGCAAAAAGCAGTAGCTTTTTGCTTATTCTTTTTGCAGAGGCAAAATGCCAGAGTGGGACTGCAGCATGCAGTTGCCACGGTGCCCACCTGACCCAAAGTCTTAAAAAAAATATCTCTGCCTAAGAATGGAGTAATTGGTTTTACACAGGACATGGACAACCTGAATCTCAAGGGAATTTACTTTATGGTTGCTTATGGAGTTAGCATTTTTAGTGCAAATTGAGTCCACTTTAACTGCCCTGACTCAGTGCTAGGGAATCATATCAACTGTAGTTTATTGTGGCACCAGAGCTCTCTGACAGAGAAGTCTCAATAAGTCTCAGAAAAAAAATACAATTCCCATGATTCCCTAGCACTGAGTCAGGACAGTTAAAGTGGACTCAATTTGCACTATTTCTGGCAGTCTGCAAAGGCCCTTTATTACCCTTTGTCCCTAGTCCCCCTATGGACATGAAGGGGAATAGCTTCTGCCTGCATTGAGGTTCCTCCAAGGGCTTGTCTACATGATGAAAATTATCCTGGTAGAATGCGAGAAGAATGTGATTTGGCTGTACATGATATGTGCATATTCGCACTATTTTTTTGCCTTCCCATCCAAGTCCTCAAACTTGGAAGAAAAAGGAATCACAGTTTTTATTGGCATATCCATGAGGGTGCACATTATCTGATGTGTAACCATCTGATTTTAATGCCTTTGCATGGCAGCACATTTTGACAGAGGGTGAGTGGATGGGCATGAATACTAAAATATTTCTTTGGCTTTAGATGGGTTTGCCTCTTCTCTTTGGCATTTTACAGCATTTTTAAATCATTTTTTTCCAGGTTGAAACTGGCCATTTGAAACAGATATTCAGTTTCCATTTCCTTACCCCACTCCTAAACTAGGATTCTAGAATTCCTTCTCTCACAGCCTAGTAGTAAAAAAACATTAATATAGTATGTGTATTAGAGTGGGAGGGGAGCCAGCATGGTTTGAGTGTTGGCCTACGGCCAGGGTTCCATTTCCAGCTCCGCCATGAAACCCACTGGGTGATCCTGGGCAAGTCACACACTCTCAGCCTCAGAGGAAGGCAATGGCAAACCCCCTCTGAACAAATCTTGCCAAGAAAACCCCATGATAGGTTCACTTTAGGATTGCCATAATTCAGAAATGACTTGAAGGCACACAGCAATAACAGCATGAGAGTAGGTGGGGAAAAACCTGGATGCTATTGGTGTTGTTTATTTTTGAGATAAGAAGCTGAGATAAGGGATCTCAGGATCAAATGTTTGAAACAAAGCATGGGAAATGAAAATACATAGTTGGAGAGGAATTTTATGTTTTAAAAATGAGACAACCTTTACCACTTCAAGGGGCACTCTTTCTAAATACAGGCATTCACCACTTTTTTTTTTTTTTGACAGATTAGGGACTAGAGAACTGTTGAAAACTGGAAATTGTCAAGTCTTTTTCAAATGCATTTTGGCTGCTAAAAATGTAAAAAAATGCGTTATTATAACTTGCGAATGCATATGAAAGTGCATTGAAAGTTGTGGAAACACGACAAACTAGGTTGAAAGAGTGGATCATGTGACTAATGTATGGGTTCCGGTCATACTGTGGGTCCTCCATATTCACTGTGGCTAGGAGTGCAGGACTCCTGTGAAAGTGGAAAAACTGTAAATATTTTTTTTTTTACCTGAGAGAATACCTATCTAGAAATATCTAGGTCCTCCAGTGCAACTCAATGGTCAAAATTCATCAGAAGTTGACCATAGAATTGTGCTAAAGGATTTAAAAATACCAAGTTAAGTGTTTTGTCTAGGACTGTCTAGGTTTTCCATCATGGCAAAGTCACATAGGAGGAAATAGGGATTCCTAGGACCTTATCAAACGCTGGCCACGAAGCGAAAAGTAACAGAAA